TATAGCCTATAGCCATCCTCGATAAATGCACTATCTAACACAAAAAGAATTATTCTAATCAGACTTGTAGTTACGGAGATTAGCGCGTTCAAACAAACAAACAAAAAAACAAACTCTTTCGCTTTATATAATATACTTACATTTGTAACTCAAACAACACATTCAAACTGTTTCTGATTCTCGAGAAGTCTATTCTTAATGGCGAAGCTATTTGTTTCTTCCAAAGTAAACAGATATACCAATAACATACAGCAATAAACTAAAATAATTTACAGAAACTATAGGAAGTCTCACCATTACAAATACAGGAAATTATACTAATTATAAATCTAGAATCTAGATGTACGAATGCACGTAAGATACTATCACATCGAATCTTCATTACCATATTCAATTTCCTAATGTTGAGATCTTTAGATAGTTAATTCCATTGGCCTATAAACGAACAACATTCTAAACTATCGGTATGTGAAGTTAGGTACTGGCTGACCCATATAAAGTATTGCGCTTGGGCATTGCATAAGTCGCAGGCGCAGGTTGCCGCAAGCCGCTAGGACATGCGATGTTCACTCGACTGTACCTCGCCACGGATTTACGAAATTAACGTGCAATTGCTGAGACAGTTGGGTTTGTTGCGTGTTTATGTACTTAAAGGTATATAACACTGGTATTTGACATTTTATTTCTAGACATTGTTGTAGCTCATAAGTCGTGTAGTGACCTAGTAGTAGGATACATTATTATGTCACCACCCTTACTTTTTCAGGAGGGTCAATGGCCGAAATTGATGACCGTTCCTACTTAATTCAAAATCTCTGAATTGCTTAACGAACTGAAACTCCATACAAGTCATACCAAAACTCGATCTGAATTGAATTAATATCGAGAGACTATAGATTTGGTAGAGTCTGGACGAATGGATATCTTATAAAACTGCCAATACCATTTATCATAGTTCAATCATGGCAAGATGAAATCCATTGTTGATTTAAAGATCTGAATCGTGACAATCTGAAATGTGTTAAGCAGGTAATACTGGTAATAAAACTAGGGAACGCTGCAAGACTTTCAAAACTGCAGGTGGTTGAAGTTACTAACCGCAAACTGTAATTTATAGCTTGACTTCGTTAATGTTATTATGTGCTAGGTTTATAATACTTTAGGCTGTATTTTATATTGAAATCTGTTAATTTAAGTGTAGATACTAACTATTTGTTAAACTTATGCATAATATATTGGTGTTAGTTCCAATCATAAAATAATAACGTCATTGTGCATAGCGTAACCCCATTTATATCTCATTGAGATCTTGACGAATACATTAGTAATTCATTTAGTTCCTTATATTACTAAAATCGAGGTAGCTTAACCTGTGAACTGTCGGAATGCAGATAGATCTACGCGAGACAATGAGTTTTCTATTGTATCTCATATACAGACAGACAACAGGTTAAAGGATTTTGTCTGTAACCTTAACGTAGTACCAACTATAATAAATCCGTTCTTTTTCTTATTTTTTAATTTGCAGTTGACCTCAATATTATGTGATGATCCGCGATAACTGGTTTACTAAATTGCATAAAAGCTTACATTCTAAAAGCCCGAGATTTATATTAATTCACAAATAAATGCCAACCACAGATGACATAGGTAGTTAGTTACTTTAAACTATAAGTACGTAGGTACCAAAAGTACTAGAATATAGAAGGAAGCTTGCGGTAATCGAATTTCCTCCACTGTACAGGATATTGTAACATAGATAATTGGTCGATCGTTATGAGTTTACCAACTTATACTCAGTACCTGCTCACACCAATTACTATATGATTTGCATAACTCAACTTAATCACTTAATTGATCCTGTTGTGATTAGATATTTGTAATTTGATAATTATATGAATTTAATTATCACCCCCTATTAGATGGGACCACAGAACATATAAAGCATGGGACCATAAATATAATAAAGAATATTTCTGTGCATGGTACTCATAACATTAATAGTGAAAAGTGGATGTACAGTAGCTTTAAGTGACGTACTGTGCACCTCTGCCTACCTCTTCGGGGATAAAGTGCGTGATGTTGTGTAATAATTTATATATATGACAAGTTAGAAACTACTGTGAGACATATAAAATAAATCAGGTTGTACTTACCTACACCTTACTCGTGTAACTGTTGAACGAGGTAACTTGACTAGTTTCAAGCGCCTCTACTAGGGTGCATAATCACGACCAACATACGCGACATCGGACAACCTTTTTTTTTTTTTTTTTAAACGTTGCCCCACATTAGGATTATCTCCTGTGTCGTGGGTGCGTTTACAAACATACAAGTTTACATACACATGACACCCAGACCCGAAACAACAATTTGTGGATCACACAAAGTGTTGTTCCGTGCGGGAATCGAACCCGCGACACGTTGCATGGCAGCCGGTTGCCCAGCCACCGCACCAACCTTCGGGCCGCAACTTAAGTTACTTACCTACTTGTTTTACCATTATTATTAGACACTAGACAGTTCTAGTTAGTTGAATTATTGCGATTGTCTATCAGCATAAATTTTATTGCTACCATGCATAAGGAATACCACCTCTGTGGTTCGAAACTAGTAGATCTTTTCCCAGTATATTCACGTAACACGCAAGTTTTAGTTCATTTAGTATGTCTCAGTTGTCAGTTACTGTAGTTGGGTTTATGCCGCTGTGACTGTTTAAAAAGATAATTTGTGTTACGTCTCACGATAGTTATAATAAGATTTATAATTTATAGTTATTTTTTCTACATTTAAGGAATTGGTCCCGACACCTCGTAATCCACTATCGTGTTCACAAACTAGACCAAGTAGGCAGTCACATGTAGCTGTATTGCTTACCTAATCTAAGTATACTACCACTCCTAGACCGTGCTATAAAACATGTAATACCAAGTTCCATTTACTAGACGTTAATTCGATAATTGAAATGGCAGTTAATCATTGCAATAGCTACTTATAAATAGTGCTGCTATTATATTTTTATTACGTAAAAGGGTGGATGATAGCAAAGTTATGAAAAAAGTATACAGAGCAGATATGAATGGGACCGTGTCGGTGGAAGGCACCCTAGATAGACATATTATATCGACCAGATTGGTGATATAAAGAAAGGCCAAATAAAAAATACCCTTAACTGACGAGCATACATAAAAAGACTAATGACTGTTGATGAAGCGAAAGAAGTACTCAAGTATGTAAGAATCGTATAGCAATTGGTGTTTCATAGTCTCTGCCTACCCCCATGAGAGACAGGTGTTATATTATGTATGTATTGTATGTATGTCCTTTCACAAAATTTAAGTATGTTTAAAGTATATACCGTACCTATTAGATACAATAAGTTTTGTCCCTAAGCCCTAGTTAATTATGTTAGTTCTTCACGTTTATACTGCTGCATAAATTTAAATGTAACCTCTGTAGATGTTGGTAGTATACCTACTTAATTAAATAATAAAGCTGAAGAGTTTAGTAAAAGTATTAATTTCAGAGAAATTTATTGACTGTCTGGTTTTTAAATTAGATGTGCCTACTAAATCTTATAGGTACTCATATACTTACTCTTATACTATTATATAAAGCGAACTTGAACGCGCTAATCTCCGTAACTACAAGTTTGATTTGAATAATTATTATTTTTGTGTTGGATAGCGCATTTATCGAGGATGGCTATAGGCTATAAAACATCACGCTACGACCAATAGGAGCTTGGCAGAGCGTGTGAAACCGCGTGGAAGTAGCTATTAAATAATGTAATAAGATCAGACATATCGTCATTCGTCAACCAATTTATTACATTATCTGTAAACAGTACTAAATCAAACCTAAAGCAAATCTGGTTAACCAAAAACCCTCAAATCTATATCCAGAATTATCTAAAGTACTTAAAATCTATCGAAAGTAAGCGTCGGTTCGAATCGTGACCTGCCTGGCCTACATACGATCCGCTTCAATACTAACGCAACAAATTACCAGTTTCTACGATTATGGACCTTCCTTATGAAGCAAGATGCGTTTAGTGACATTTCAATCTCTTAATCTAGACATGCGATGTGGTATTCACATGTTTGACCTGCCCCAGATGTAAAGTCAAAATGGCAGATGCATAATAACGAAGCAGTTATTAAACGATGTTCCTAAAATGTACTATTTATTTAATGTAGGTAAACCTATCTTTAAAAAAAACTAAAAACAAAAATTAAAAACTAAAAAGAATAATATAACTACCTATTATTAGTACTCATAGGTTACCCAACCACTAATAGGAAGAAGTTAAAAATCGTACCTATTAAGTTAACTCACTATATTTACGTGAGTAACTTATAACTTCTAGTCAGTCAGTACCTATTCATACAGCATTCTAATTCCAATGTAATTGCAACTACATATGCACTGAAAATTGCATCAATTAACCTCTGCTCTGGTATGTCGGACAAAATATCTACGCGGGACAGACAAGGGGGTTAAAACACATATTTTACAAAAATGTAAGCTACGTTGCATTCACAACAGATTCGAGACATTATTTACATTACTTTTATTTTAATAAGCTTAAGTATTTACTTTGCACATTTGTGCACGGTGGTCTGATAGTTCTGAACAGACAGAAGATACTACAAGATAATCATGATGATTGATCATTACACCAAGGTTAAGCGACGTGTTATATTTCACAATTAATTTACTTTCCTTAACAATATTGTGCACCTACATAAGCATTTAAGAAACTTTTAGAAAGGACAGACTGAATTGGTTTAATTGCATATTAACTATTTGCATTCTATCAAAGCAAAATAAAATCAAAGTTGCATCTGATGATCTTTTAAAAGTTATAAAAGAAAAAAAGAAAGATACGATTCTTACATAACTCTTTCATGTCTTCAACAGTCCTTAAAAGTTATTTAACTGTTTTATCCATCACAATACATGTAGTAACTAACAAATCTCTTTATGTGCTATTTCAGAGGCGTTGGACGTGATCAAAGAAGAGCACACGATGCCTGCACAGAGACGGCGCGACAAGAGAGAGGTGCCCTTCACGCATGACGAGAAGAGAATTGCTGGGGTAAGTTCCTTAACCTTAACCCATCAACATTAAACCACGAGAGATAAGTCGCCAAAAAGTATCAGGGTTGAATACATATATTATATCTTATGACTTGTCTAAACAAGTAGACATTTATTCATTAGAAAAGAAAACTAAAAAAATACCATCAATTAGGTGTCAAAGAATTCGTCGGCATTAAGTTATTATTATTTTTTTTCCTTTGGCAACTGAGTCTCCAAAATGGTGTTGTCGACTATACTGCCAGTGTCGAGTGGTGACGGCAAAATTATTGGACCGTCGAACTTAACTTTGCGGTAGTTTTTAGTTGTTAGTAGCTGAAAAGACAAAACAATTGGGTTTCATTAATTAGTCTTAAACATGACACATACTTGGCATCCACAAAAACTGAAACTTGACATGTATGTATATAGGTACATATGTTCCTTTGGTACCCACACTAGAGCACTAAAAGTTAATTTCCCTATAATCCTACGGACTCGGTAAAAATGGATATCCCTTGTACGCAATGAATTCGCAGGCTAATTAGTAAAGTTTATAAAAACGGATTCCTAAAATAAAGTTTTATTCGACGTGGAACAAAACGGCTTCCGTCCTTCCAAGACTTGCTATGAACGGAAATAAACATAAGTGAACGGATTTTAAATGAGAGTATTTATTTTCTCTTTTATAAACCAAAACCTGTTTACGACCAAAACGATGCAGTTTTTGATATTGACTTGAACCACTTAAACTGCAGCTGTATATTGATATGTATAAGTTACTAGATGTTACCTGCGACTTCGTCCGCGTACAATATGAGTTTGAGGACATAAATTTTGTTTGATTTAACTTTCCAAAATAAAATAGCCTATGTTACCGCTTAGTATATCAGTACCAGTAAAATTCCCTTCAAAATCGGTCCAGCCATTTCAGAGATTAGCTAGTACAAATAGACAGACAGACAGACAGACAAAAATTAAAAAATGTTATTCTGGTATATTCATGCATTTAAATATACATATGATACCTATTTCCGCTTTTTACTACATGTTTAGGTATATACGAAAGTAAAAAACGGCAAAGTTATCGATTAGTAAAAATCGGTTATTTCAAAATTACAAACAGACATTCCAATTTTATTTATCTGTATAGATGAGTTCATGTATAGTCGTTATGAACTGGAAACATAACAAACAAACATTTAATTATACATTTTTATTTTATAGGGATTTAATTTGCATGATTGCGTATTTTTAATAGTAGGGTCGGGAACCGTGAGTTCGAATCCCGCTTGTCATTTGTTTTTAAAACTTATACGCAATTGTACAGTTATAGTGCAATCTTTTATTTTAATAGGTAGGTACGACTTTTTACTTTTTTACGTGGGAGAAGTATGTTTAGACGTCACATGGGCCGGCTCGACCCGAGCGATCACAGAAAACCAGCGTGAAACAATTCTTTTTTTGAGGGGAAAAAAATTTCAAATTGCTCCTCCTGAAACATCAGAGGCGTTACAAGTGCGTTACCGGCCTTTTAGGAATAGAGATTTGGGGATTAGGGAGATTTGGAGGGGGTTATTTGGCCTCCGGTAACCTCACTCAAACGACGAAATATAACGCAAGTGTTGTTTCACGTCGGTTTTCTGTGAGGCCGTGGTATCACTCCGGTTGAGTGGGTGGCTGTCCCACACTTAAAGCCTACTCATTCCAAAGTATAGATTACGGGGCTCCGGCTCGACGTGCAGGAGAAGGAACGGGGTGGTTTTTGATCAGTAAGAGTCTGACACTCCCTCCCGCCTCACCCAGGCGAGAGCAGTAATTCGATGATTTACACCTTAAAAAAAAGTCCTGCGTAAACCGAGAGAGAGTGTCAGAGTGTCTCTTACTGACTAAAAACCACCCCGTAGCAAATCCACAGTCCAACGTGAATCAATCCTTGTGTTGTGTTACTAAAGGTCTCATCCATCTGCTTGTCCCTTAAAACCATATAACATTTATTTACTCTGTGTATATAACTAATGGTTTATTTTTCTCAATTCCAGTGTCTGCTGCAGTGTGTGTACCGGAAAGTGAAAGCTGTGAGTATTAACCCACTGTCCTATTGCATTACACTACTGTTCTATTTATCTAACTGCTAACTCGTTTACAACCAGCCTACTGATTCATACGTAGGCTAGGGCTGTACAGTACCTATGCAAAAATTGGAGCTATTGAATTCACTATTTACTTGAAGTCAAAATAAGTTGCCTTTTCGAGATATAAAAGAATTGTATTTAGAGTTAGATACCGTATTTGGGGAAGATTAATAAACTGCGAATTTTAATCTTTATGTAATCTCTACTCTACTTCTATCGGTACTCCGGTTTGCAATGAAATTTTGCATTTATATCAAACAAAGACTAATGAACTTTTTTAAACAATTAATCAGCCGAAAAGAAAATCTTATTTTCCCATCACCTCACAATAATTACATAAAGAATTCATAAAAGGACAAAAAAATATCAGAAAAAGAATTTATAAATTAACATAGACTAGTCCTAATTTTCACACCTAATTCCCAGAAAGAATGATGAAATCCGATGCATATTGCACTGTGCAACTCTAGATACATCACTTTTTCTAGACCAACTACCGATCTATTGAACTTTCTGTTGCGCCATTGTAGTTTTTATTTAGCTCGTCAGGTCGTCTAGAGAAAACACATATTACACATATTGTTTATCGTGGATTCTAGGTTTAGGGAACATTTTGTTAGAAGAGGTGACATGTTCAACTTTTTTGCTTTCTATTAAACATGGCTTTTAATCCATTGGTCGTGACGATAAAAGAGTTTTATCCTTAACCCTTTGAGTACCGTCATTATAGACACAATTAAAGAACAATAGGTTGCGGTCACCGGTGTCCTCGCGATGTTTGACAGTTTAATTTCTGTAAAACACAATAATAATATGTTTTAATGTTTCTGTGATAAAGATATATATCTAATTGAGCTTTGAGAGATTTTCAATATATTTTAATATTATGCTAAGATACTGTTAGATTATGACTTAAGTATGCTTTGTAATATTAAGTGTTGACCAAAAGATTAACCTTTGGTATACGTTAGTATCTTCGCCCCCTATTACATAGGACTCATAACGTAAATAGTTTAAAGTGGGTTTCACATTGTACAGTAGTATTAGGTGCCATAATGTGCACCTCTGCCAACCTCGTCGCGGATAAAATGCGTGATGTTATTTTATACCAAAGGGTTATTCTATATTGGAAACAGGGTCAAGAAAATAAAGAATTTAAACCTACAACGCAGCAAAAACTGGCCCAACAATGTAAAACGTATTAAGTGGAATACGTAATAATTAGTTACCATCAAGTCAAGCCATTAAAACCCAGAAACATAAAGCACCCAGTGCTCATGCCGAACACGTTGAACCACCAGTAAGTTAAACAGAACATTATGAAGGGAAATAAATTAAAAAATATAAAATCTGTGGTTAATGTTAAGTTAGGCGGCTATTCCCATTACCTCCGAGGTCAACCCTACTCGTAAAGAAAAATAAAATAATTTTTAAATCGAGTTTTAATGCTTTATAGTTTCTGTCACGAACTGATTGCTCCAATTTGTTAACTATAAAACATGAGGGTAAAGTCGTAAATCTGAAAAAGAAAAATTCGTAGCTTATTTATTATACTTGAAATCCTTTGAACAAGAATATTACGCCCATAAAAACCTTCGGGACACGCAGTAATTTGTATTTTATTTGTGTTATGTTCAAAAGTCGGTATTGAATTTAATTGTCGGCTTCGAGCCATCAGTATCTGCTTGTCGTACTTTATTCCATATAAATTTCTTTTGTATGAAATATTTTATTGCAAGAATTACACTAGTTAGGCGTACACAATAAACATTCGAATGACTCGCCGTGGATTGGTTTCAATAAAATAAATGTTATTTTTATCCTTCCAGTAATAATTGTAATTTTATTGCTTAAGTGGACTAGGCTTTACCTGGGATTTTTGAATTCGGCTTTATGAGAAGGAAAACGGAGCTAATAAATCTTTCTTACAACCCTTATTACAGTAGTTCTTTAATATGAGTCATCCTTACTACCTAATATTATAAATCTGAAAGTGAGTTTGTTTGTTTGTTCCACCTTCACGCCGTAACTACTCAACCGATTGCTTTGAATTTTTGCAGACGTAAAGTTAGAAGTCCGGATTAAATAATAGGGTACTTTTTAACCCGGAAAAATTGATATTCCCGAGGAAAAACAAAAGTATTGGTATAGATGGCGCTGTGTGTATTGGTATATGTCACATAGGCTACTTTTTATCCATTTGTGACGCGAGCGAAGCCGCGGGTAAAAGCTAGTATATAATATATACTAAGGTAGCATTTAGTTCTATTACACTAGAATAGAAATAAAAATAGAATGAAATAATGATTACCTTCAATTTGTCTTCATCTCAAATGAACTAAAATACCACCGCAAAATAGGTTACACGCTATTCAGAATTAAAACTATATTTTTATAATAACAGGGCCTTAGATCGTCATTCTAGCGATCACGCATTAACCCCTCGAGCGTCCTTATGAGCTCCCGGTGGATCATAAGAAAAAATGCTCCATGCTGCTTTCTCTTTTATAAAATCTGTTATTAATGTTTTGTTTTTGACTGTATTTTTTATTTCTATTGTAATGATCCTTGTTTTCGTGTGCCAATGGCCAAATAAATGCATTTTCTTTCTTTCTCCAAATGTCACGTGTGCACCCGTTGGATCATAAGGAACGCGGACGCTCGACGGGTTAAAAAGACACTATAAACAATTTTCCTTTTATTATATTTCCAGGTGGACGGCTACGGTTTCCCGACCTTGGAAGGCCTAGTAGGCCTGTACTCAGACGGTGTGAATGAGCGCGGCTACTTCATGGCGGTCCTGGAAGCCTCGCGAGAGTGCCTCATGAAGAACCACGACAAGTTCTCCAGGACTGTCCCTATGGGTAATTATTCAGTTTTTGGACTAATTATCCCCCTTTTAATGAACTACTATCGTTAGAGTAATTTGTATCCCCGTTGGGGTAGGCAGAGGTCCACTTAATGCCACTGTATATAAAATTTAACACCCACTTTTCACTATTTATGTTATGAGTCCCATGTAATAGGGGGTGAGTTTATTGTCATATACCGGGCGCAATTCCAGACTCCGTGCTGCTACTGAAAATTAAAAAAAAAATCAATAATACTCTGCCCGACCTGGGAATCGAAGAGACCCCGTGCCCAGCAGTAAATCCATGCAGCACTTTTTGAGTTCATCCCACACATACAGAAAAACATACAAAAATTAAAAAAAACATATTTTTGGTTTCGGTATAGACTGCCTCGTTGGCCGAGTGGTCGCAAGTGCGACTGCCGGGCAAGGGGTCTCGGGTTCGATTCCAGGGTCGGGCAAAGTATTACTGGGTTTTTAAAAAATTCTCAGTAGTAGCACGGAGTCTGGAAATGTGCCCGGTATATGGCAATAGGCTCACCCCCTATTACATGGGACTCATATCATAAATAGTGGAAAGTGGGTGTTACATTGTACAGTGGTATAATGTGCACCTCTGCCTACCCCTTCGGGGATAAAAGGCGTGATGATATGTTATGTATAGACTGTAGATCACGTACAGTTTTCACTTTCCCACGATTTTAATATACTTATGTAACTATGTATATAGAATGATAACATTATCCTTTATGTTTATAGACAATGGCCGTAACTGCGACATCTCCTTCGACATATTCGAGTGTATTTCGGACCGTATCGGCGAATACTGTGGAACCTCCGGCCTCTAACTCAATAACTACTTACTACCATTATAATTAAACTGTCGATGTAGGTATAGCTAATTAATTAACCGTTGCAATAATAATTTTAAATATTTTCCTTTTGTAAATTGTATTTTTTTCTATCGGATTTGGATTAGCACTGCCATCTTAATGTTTTGTATTGATTTTAAAATTATCGAGTTTCGATTTATTGTTAATGAAACTTTAATGACTGTTTTCACTACCCCATAAACCATCTCTTAACTAAAAGATACCTAATATCTAAATTCACTTCTTACTTGTCCTATTAGGTACCACTTACAGATCAATGAATACCAAAATGTTGTTAAATGTCACCTACATTAGCTTAGAGGTTTCTTAAAAGTTAAGAAAGGTTGTGAAAACGGTCATAAGCCTTTTATATAATTATGTTTCTCTTATATTTGTAAAATATGAAAATGTCTTCAATATAATATTGTTATATAGAATCCTACATAAGTTACCAACCCGAAACAAACCATTAGAATAAGTATATGTACATAGAATAATTAACTAAACTAAAATGTGATGCTCAATAATTTTAGCTGTAAGGTAGCTCCATTGATTTATCAAAGAACAATTTCTATATAGCACAGCGACTACTATTGAGTAGCTATCATTCTTATATTATCATTTTAAAAATATTTTTTACCATTTCCAAAAAATAATTCCAATAAACTCAAATGTATGTCTACTTTACGTCTTAAATTAGCTGCTCCTTAACGAACTGATAGATTTAACATAGCTTTAAGTTTTATATAATAAAGTTCTGTATATATCTATGTGTTTGGAGTTTTATTTAATTTTTTTTATGTAACAAAATATATTTGCAAAATATAGGTAAGCTCTGCATACCATCTTACTAATATAAAAAATGCGCAAGTTTGTGAATTTGTGTGTTAGTGTGTTTGTTACTTAGTCACGTCAAAACGGCTAAACGAATCAAGATGAAATTCAGAAGTGATAGAGTTTGATCTAGAATAATATGCATGATAATAAGATGCATCGGATGGAGCATAATCTTATGATATATACGTAACTACGATGAAAAGGTCTACGAAATGAAGTATCCTATTTTTCATAAAACTAGAGTTAATATTATCAACCACCCATGGCAATCCACCCTGGTCTACTGGACATAGTTTAATTGAGTCTGTACCTACAATACACACTGTAAAATAACGCCTATTAAAAAAAATAGCAAGCCGCGATTGTGCGACACTATACCAATATTATGATAAAAAATATTGGCACCCAATGAATGGTACTGAAAACTTGCATTTATGTTTTGTGTTGTTTCAAAAACACCAAATCCTACAAACATAGGATCGCTAATTATCCAAATATTCTGGCATAACAGTTGATGGACAAGAAAGAATCAAAGAGACTGCTGAAACGAAAGATTCCCCAGGATGTGCTGCAGTAAACACACACAAATATTAAAGAGGATGCGACGTAGGTCACTATCGCATTATAAAAAAAACTATAGTACAAAATTATAGGTATATTACAGGTTATTATAGGTATATTATAGGTACTTATTAAGGTATTATGTAAAGATTTTGTACTCTGAAAATGTTCTCTCTGGGAGATTAAAAAGTCTAGTTGGCAATTTTAATAAACTATCTCAGTCCAAAATCTGTGGATTACGATTTTTGACAGAATCTCAAAAACTGATCCTTTTATGTACAAATTATGGAATAAGGGCCGACTTTTCAATCATCAGTTAGGTATATTATATTTCGGTGAGTGTGCGGGGGAATTGCATAATTTCATTCCCCCTAGTCCTTTTCATAATCGTACCACAAGACAATCGGCGAAGCGTCACCGATTCTTGGTAGATGTTCCATTGACACGCACGAAACGCTTCGCATTAAGCTTCCTTGTGTGTACTGCTAAGGAGTGGAATTACTTGCCAGATTCTGTGTTTCCTGAAGAGTATAATCAGGTTGTCTTCAAGACCCGGGTAAATAGGTTGCTTATGAGTCGACGTACTCAATCGTAGACTGCATCATCGGTTACCACCATGCGAGATAGAGGTCAACACGGCCCATCAATAAAAAGTAATTCCTGTAGATTAAAATTGACAGTTGCAATTTTTTGGTATAGAAGAATTGCCAATTATTCTACATTATTTCTCCGATAATATTCATCTCGCGTTTGAAAAATCGGTCTTAAAGGACTTCATAATCCGATTGTAACTTTATAACTCATCATCATCACCAGTAGAAAGATGTTCACTATTGGACGAAGGTCTACAGTTATAAGAAGGCGTTGTCAGAACCCCCAGGCAGTATGAGAATCATCTCTAGGTCACCGAAATTTTAAAGGATTCTACTGTCTATCTCGGTGACTGTTCTCAGTTCTAGTATACGCCCGGCTACATGATTGTAACTTATTTTGTTAGAAAGAGTTATGAAATAAAAAAATGGAATGGAAATCCTTTCATCATTATCATACAATAACCAAAAAAACCACTGCAGCCACTTTGTAGTGGCTGCAATGGTTTTTTTGGTGCCATATTTGGTTTCATGCCATAAATTCAAATTGGTTACATAGACAACTATGTAACCAATTTGAATTTATGGCATGAAAATGTTGAAATAAAAGAAATATCGACAAAAAGCTCACATTACATCTTTGTATGGCTCTGAACTCCACATTGAGATTTCCTGTGTCGTAAAATAACAACCATGTTATCGGCATAAACTACCTACTTTTTCAATGAGAGAGGAGTTCATTTTTTAGAGTAAAGACGCTGACGGAGACGGCGGCTAGTAAGGTAGTATAAGTACCTACCTATATGTACATTGTACGCGCATCGTGTAACATAAGGCAAACAGGTAACTTTAATAGAAAATAAAGGTAACTTCCACGTTTTAAAATAAAATTAAGAATATTCCACACAATATCTCATTGTTGCGATGGTGTTTTAAAAGATCATCAGAAGATACGAATCAGTTAATGTGATGAGGATGTAAGCAGTTACTGAAGGCAAAGAATTATATTTTACGTAACTAGTATATCACCTTTAATTAGAATTAAGATAATATTTCGAAACAAGCCACTAATAACCATAATTCGTATCCCACGAGTTTTTGTTTCCTGATTCAATAAAATTTGACTTTATCAGCTTAGAAATATCTATTGCGTGTAAAAATATAAATTATTGTTAGGCTACTAATGCTGAGACCGTGAGAGACTACAAGACTGAGCAATTAGCTAGTCGAGCCTTATGGCCAGCTTTAAACAATGACATTTGAATGTTGGACTCTTGAAAGCGTAAATTGTGCAAGAGTTTGTTTTTAGACTTTAGATTTTCATAACATAGATTAAAATGTACCTACGGTTGAGTATAAGTAAGGATGTCTTATAGGTCTTAGAAATACAGTCCACGTAGCGTATGCCACTGCTTTCAAATGTCCCAATAGACAGCGAGAATGTTGTATATTCCATGGAAATTTATTTCCTTCTCTTTTTTTCTAACACTGCAGTACTCTAATGAAAATCAACCTGAAATTTATTCGACAAATGTAACAATCAAGAAAGATTTTACGCTACGAGATGTTAATTGATGACGTCGATACTACTCAAAACCTAGACAGAAATCAACTCCTGAACACAACACCAGCACCGACACTTTATACATAGGAAAAACCTACATTTATGATAATTAACAAACGCAAAAGGTGAACCTTATCAAGTTTGTACAATTGAATTTTGTATAAGCAGATTCGGTTGAGGACGTGGGACATACAGACAGACACAATGACTGATAGTGATCATCAATTTTACCCAAGCGTCGTGTTCCATGTATTATGACTAGGAAACGTATATATTATGTATGTATGCTGATTGAGTAACCAACACTTCAAACAAGAATTCGTTTTATTTTTAATGATGAGGGGAAATATTTAATGTAAATGCTTTTATTGTGGTTGACGTTCCTGGTGCGACCTTTTGGGTTTTAATTGGTACTTAAATTTTATGTGCAAGTTTGTTAAAAATGTTGCAGATATGATTTGTAAGACTAAAACGGTATTCCGAAGAGTGTATGATAGTGGTAAAAGTAGATTATCCGTCAATACCTCAGGTTTCTACATTTCCCGAGGGTTTCGATATCGGAAGACCGATAAGGAACAACCTCAACCAGTCAGCCCCAACCAGCCAAGTGTGGGAGAGCCACGCTTCGGCACGAATGGGCCGGCTTGATCGTAGTAATACCACTGCCTCACAGAAAACTGTCGTAAAGCAAAGCTTGCGTTGTCTCTCGTCGTGTGAATAAGGTTACAATCCCCCGCCCTCCCCCTTTCTCCCCAATCCCTGAATCCCCAACAATTCTCAAACTCCTAATCCCCAAAAAGCCAGTAATGCACTTGTAACGCCTCTAATGTTCCAGGTGTCCGTGGACGACGCCGATTACTTACCATCAAGTGATCCGTCTGCTCGTTTACCGGCTTATGCCATAAAAAAACCTTCACCTATTAGTCTATAGCAGAAATTGGAATTTTACACACTAAATCTTTAAACACACATAAACACATTAAAACTTTAAAAATTAAAACAGTTTCTTCCATTTAATTAGTTAAAGAGTAACAGCAACTAACACACATCTTAAAGAGTAACAGTTAATGAATCACGTGTATATTTCAGAGAGCAACTCATTAGCAAAACACTTAATTTTTTACAGCAAATTCAACAGGATCCTGCAATACGCTATCAGCGCCATCTTTCAAGGAAGTTATGTAGATAAAAACATATCATGCAACAGAAGTCCTAGGAAATAAACAGTGGTAATACTAGAACAAAACATACTGATTTAAAGATAGTAAATCAAAAAAGTATATGGTCGTGGTAATAACAGTCAATTATGTATCTTCTTCATACATGGTTTGCCATAATTATCACGGTTGGCAAGCGGGTAGGAGACGATAATAGGGTAGATGCCTAATTTTTATTTTAATGTCCGTCTGGTCGATTATTTTAAA